TGAGATATTTATAAAATTTTAAAAAATATTTAAAATAAAAACCCTAATTTTTTAAAATCCAAAATTCTAAAAATCTGAATTCTAAATCCCTTTTATCAGGTCGGCGCTCTTGCCGTCTTCCAACAGCCACCCAGTTGTCACATCTTATTTAGAAATCGATCACCGCCTTTGTCGTCATCCAATCCCTAAAATCCTAATATTAGTCCTCGTTGTCGTCGGTTAAAGCTTGGTTGGCTTCTTGCGTTTGGGGTGGGTGGCTCATTGCCGCATTTAAGCCACCAAAACTTGCTGCATTTGGATATTGTATCCCCAAGAAGCAATCAATGCAAACGACGATGCAACATTCAAGTTTTGGGGGTCGGCCGACAAGGAGTATTTGCTACATTTAAGCCACCATAACCTTTTGTATTTGGGAATCTGCTGCATTAGGGATTCAAGGGCGGCGATCGTTGCGACGGGGCCGACCGACAAAGGGAGGTCGGCAAGTTTTGAGGGGTTAAAATTTTTAGGAGGGATTTCTAACATTTTGGAAAAAATTAGGATCTATTAAAAAACATCAATAACATTTTTAAGTTTTTCTAAAATAAAATTTTCAAAAAATATATAAACACGATATATATCGGATAACAATATTTAAAAATATATATATATATATTTTAAATATTTATTTTTAAATTAAACCTATTTAAAATGATACAGATCTTTACCTGGCTTTCTTAATTGGTAGTCAGTCTCATGGGAAAAATCAAAGAAGTTTCCGTTCGATGGATTGTTTTCTATAAATATAAAACAGTTTCGTACAATTCGCTTTTAACTTGTGAATGTGAACTAAATCAACCCTAACTCTAATCGGTAGAATTATAGTTTGATTTCCATTTATCAATTATAATTTTAATTTGATCAAATTTGATAGGCAAGATTGGTCTAATAATTCAATTGGGAAAATTGTCTAACACAATAGGGTGACCTATTTTTTTTTGAATCTACGATATTTATTACAGTGTAGAACAAAATATATTAAAAGGTAGAATTCATCATATGATATAGAATAAATTTGTATGGAACTTGTCACACCCTCACGATGAGTTTTAATATTTTAATATATTTTATAGAACTCGTTATGTCTACGTGACGAGTTTCATGTGCACTGTAGCAAATGATATAGATCTCAAAAATAATTTTCAATCATTTTCATTTTACAAATTTTTTTTCTCTCTCTTGTATTATTTCCTTAAATTTTCCAGTTTAGTATGATCAAAAAATTAATAATTTAAATATTTTCCATGTAAATTTAAAATAATTCAAACATATTTTTTTAGTTGAAAAGAGCCTAGACAATTAGGCTATAAAACTAACAATTATGAAATAATAGCTAATCGGAAGCTCCTGATTAAGATACTTTGAGGTCTGCCGGTGGAATGTCATAGATCATTAACCAAGGATGGACTTAGAGGGATTGGTGGAAGTTCTCTCAAAAAATTTAAAATTTTTATATATTTCTTATATTTTTATTGAAATATATCTTTACTCTTTTTCAATTTCTATAAGCTATTTTTTATTTAAAATTTAATAAATTTACCATTCTTAATATAAATTTTTGTGTCTGTTCCTATCACTAATAGAAAGTGATGCGGTCGAGCAGGCTTAGTTAATTTGTCGGCAGCTTGATTCTCCTCACGTGAAAATCAAAGAATGTTTGTTATCTATGCACGTTTTCTCAAACATGTGATCGCACAAACGAAAACGATAAACAGTTAGTGGTTGTGTTGTGATCATCAAAGAATACCCTAAACGTCCCCAAGCTAAATCGTTAATATTTTTTTATCAAAATTAAGACTCAGACTTTAAATCATTAATACTCTAAACCTAAATTTAATCCAATTTAAAATAAATAAGATTTCTATTCAAATTATTTCGATGCTAGGCTAAATCGTTCCAGCCCAATTAACAAGTCTGATGGTCTTTTCTTTCTTGTGAAGTTAAATAGATTTTTTTATTAATATGAGGTAAAATATAGTATTTGAGATGACTATCCAGCTCAGTTGGTAAAGCACAAGGTTCTTAACCTTGAGGTTGTGAGATCGAGTCTCACGCAAGATATTTCATAATTCAGAGGTGTTCTACGGAAACTGCTCTTAACCTGGTGTTGAGGGCAGCCTACTATCTTACCTCCCCTTATCCCATTATATATGGGAACAAGGGACAACCATTTAAAATATAGTATTTGTTTAAACTTTAAAGATAATTCTTAATTTTTTGACATTAAACACTCATATTCTTAATATTCTTGATGTTTAAACTCAAAATATTAAAGAATGACAATAATTTATTTATCACCGAAATTATTGATGGTCATTACAAAGTTATATAGACTGGCTCTTTCGAAAAGGGAACCTTCCGACTAAATTTTCACTGCGGTACGTGTTATTGTTAGAAAAGTGGTTCACCCTTTATTTGGTTTATTTCATAGATGTAAATAAGCAGTCTTAGGGCATCTCCAATGCTGCACTATAATCCCTGCTTTTCTCTACTGTAGAAAAAAAACTTCCTTCACTGCATCGTCATAATCATCTCCAGTTTGGAGAAACGCTACAGTCCGCGTCACATCTAACATGGTATTGTAGCATATACTACATTTTTTTTGATTTATTTAAATTCAAATAGATTAAATTACAAGATAGATAAAAATACATTGAAATTAGATATATAAAAATACTATTTTTTTTTTTGTAATTTTTCTATTTTTTGTAATTTTTCTGATTTTTTTTCAAATTCAAGTAGATTAATTTGCAAGATAAATAAAAATACATTGAAATTAGTCAAACAATTATTATGAAATGTAATTTTCTTATTTATTTGTATTTTCGTAATGTTATTTATGAATGTTTCATTTATGCTTTTTATTTTGATATTTATTATAAATATATATGTTTTATTTTATATTTGCAAAATCAATATTATAATAGTTAAATATTGTGAATAAAGTAGAGTTGATGGTAATGTAGAGATAGTGCTGGAGATGAATTACTGTTTCATCTTTAGAGTAGAGATAGAGATGTTGTAGAGTAGAGATGAAGACTGGATATGACCTTAAATTGTACCGCTGAGATTTGAAATTGGAATTGGTAGACCGATTTGGGTTTTATGCATGGGTTTTTTTTAGGTTTAAATGTATCGTTGTTTTTAAAATATATTATTTGTACTGACTTATCTCTTAAAATGTTTTTTAAAATGTTTTTTTTTAGTTTAAATCGTTACCTCATTTACTTCATACAGTAACTCCGTCAAAAAACACGCGAGTAATTACATATTTAGTCACTCAACTATTTATGTGGTTTTGTTTGAGTTACCCAACATTTTTTCCCTTCAAAATCATTATTAAATTTAAGTTTTTGTTATATTTTGGTCACCCAATTTGATTAATTTTTTTAATTTTAATGTATAAGAATTCATTTATATTATATTTTTTACTCGACATATAAATATAAAATAAGTATTATTATAAGATAAATAATAAACAACATATTAAATTGTATGTAATTATTATATTAAATGAAATATTAATTATTTAATTAAAATATCATAAACGATAATTGCCCAACGTACGAAAAAAAAAACATTGATCACCCTAATTCCATGCACCCAAAGTATTTTCTTGACGATATCACATACATCATCAACAACACTATAAAAAAGTTTCTGAGTATAAAATATAAAAATCAAATTTTTTAAAGTTATGAAATTTGATTTTCAAATTAAAAATATATTAATAGTATTTTTAAATTTTTAAATTGATATATTTTCCCAATGTTTTTATGAAAGCAAATGAAATCAAACTCATTGTTTTCCTTTTATTTTTTTATCGTTATTCCTTTTTCATATTTTTCATACCTTCAATGCCGCTTGCATTGTCTACATCGCTATCGATCGACAGCTTTAAGCTTTTTTTTATAAACTTTTAATCTTTGGAAGTGTTTTTATTTTTACTGGTTTAGTTGTTTCTTGTTTTCAAATTTTTACTCTTTTATTTTAATTGTTTGAAAATCTAGATCTTGCTATTGGAAACCTTTATTTGAATGTTTAAGGAGTTCATAATGTTGAAGGGGAAAAAGAATTACACGTATGAATGTCAATGAAAAATCATTGATTAGATAAAAGGGACAGATAGACAATTATAGGGCCTACATACTAACTTAAACTCAAACTCGATAAATACTCGATTTGAATAGGCTTAATTCAAGTTCGAACTCTAATTCTTAACAGGCAAAAACCTTAAGTCGAAAAGCTCGTAACTCAAAAAAATATATATTAAAATTTTAGGCTCTTCAATTTTCAAGCCAAGTCGAGCTCCATTTAAATTTTTTTGTGACGAGTCGAACTCAACAATATTCAAACTCGACTAGACTCATTTATAATCCTAGAGTGGGTAAGTATATATCTTAAAATTCAATTTTTTAAATATTTATTTATTTTATGAAATGTGTATACTCTAATTTATTTTTATTAATTTATTATATTTAAATCAAATTAACCTCTCAATTTTTATAAAATGAAAAGATTAAATATCAATTAGTCTAATGAGATGAGACACTAGATTCCTTAAGTAAGAACAGAGGTTTGAATCCAAATATTTACAAATGAAACAAATTAGATTAGGAGGGTCGACCTCACCTATACAATATCCGATCTGAATTAATTAATTAATAAATCAAAATTGATGATTAAAAAAATAAAAAAGATTAAATACACAATCAACATAATAACATTAATAAAGTCAAAAATTAATTAATTAATAAAAGAAGGTATCTTGTGTCCATACAAAGTCCAAAGTCATAAAAAAATCCGCCAAATCCCTACCAAAGAAAAGTAGCTAATTTATCCCAAAAAAAAAGTAGCTAGTAACTTAACATTTAATAATATATAATAAATCATTCTATCACTTAACTTGTATAATTCAGTCGAGTTTCCATCTATAAATATATAATTTATCCGTCTAAAACTAAACCCATCCTCTCGTCGGCTCCATTTTCTAGCATCTCCAATGTAGGGTTTGAAAACAAAGGTGGGCTACCCTTTCCTCAATAAACTCGTTTTGTTTTAGGTATAACGACTACCAAACATAAGGTGATGCACAAGTCATCCTAAAGAAAGAAACAAATGAAAAAAAACCACCTGTTAGATGTAGCCCTATAATTTTCATTGCTTATTTCAAACATAATATTTAAATTTAAATTTAAACTTAATATTTTTTTAAAAGTCATAAGTTTGAAAAATTATATCTATAGAGAATATATGAGTTGACATTATATTAAGAAAATTTTAAATAAATATTATATTATAATCACTAAGATTATTTAAAAAAAATATTTATACATAAATTATATTTAAATAATAACTTATAAAAGTGTTAATTAAATTAAAATTTAGTCGATTAATTTATTCATTTAATGTTTTGGCCAATTGTAACCTTTGGTTTAGTCAAGGTCGATGTGCCTCCCCTATTTAAAAGCGCGTGTTTTTTTTTCTCTTTATCTTTTAGAATTTTTAGTGCCGTTCGGTTCCTTGTGTTAATGATGGTTTTGATAGCAACAATATAATTTAAATATTGTTATTAACCATTCAATAACAACAAGTGATTTGGTCTGATGGTTAAGCATAAAGACTTTCATCCTTTAGACCCAGGTTTAAATCCCATGAGTTGTAAAATTTGTAGAGATTTAATAATCCCTCTTTTCTTAATTTAATAAAAATTCATGTGTCAGTGACAACATTTGATTGAGTAATATTAATTTAGTAAAAATATAATTATTTATTATTAATTATTTTTTAAAAAAATTACTGACGTGGCATCAAACACGTACATGCCACATCAATATTTAGTCTATTAGGATATGCCACGTCATCATCTACTATGATATGGACATGCCACATCAGCATCTCCCTCCATATGTTCTTGCTGATCAGCTTCAGGTGTTGATCGTCAGTTGATTAACGGTTTTTATCTAACGAGTGTGATTTTTTACCCAAAATGAGACGTGGGGAGATTAAATGTAAAAAAAAACGATTTGAGCACAATTACATATACAGTCAAACGTTAGGGATATTTGTTTGCATTTTTTCTAAATTTAATTGAGTTTCCATTTGCCTTTTCCACGTGCTTAAATGCAGGCAAGCAAGCAAAATTGCATTTTACAAGGCTTTTTTTTGTGTGAATATAAGGGTTTTTTATTTATTTTTACAAGAAATAAAATATGTATTTTATTCATTAAGGATCTATACTGTGTTTTGTATCCTATTACTTTTTTCTGCCATCAAATATTTCCAAAATTTTTAAAAATATTTCCAAAAAATTTAAATTTTCATAAATAATCATTGGGTAAACTATGTGAATAGTCCATTTTGTTTAGGGTCTATCCGAATTTGATCACTAAATTTAAAATTGAGGGTAAATGATCCATAACATTATCGTTATGTTTGATTTAAATCACTCTACTGTTAACCCTTAATGAATATGTAACATAGCTGAGGGACTAATGTCAAACGGGAGTTAACGGTTGATGGACTAAAATCGAAAGAATCGATAATGTTATGAATTAAAATCGGATGAATCGATAATATTAGAGACCACATACTCTTAAATTTTAAATTAATAATCAAAGTCGGTCAGACAAAAAATAAGAGGACTATTCGCATAGTTTACCTATAATCGTTTTAGTTGTTCTTATATTTGTTTGTTTAAAAGCACCAACTTAAAAGGAATTGTAATTTGAGATTCAGCACAGCAAAATATGCAATTTGATAAATATGGTCTTACCTCTCTTTACGCTTTTCCAGAAATCTCTGCAGCGACTTCTTTCGAGCAATTGGTAAATCTGCATAAAAATATCCACAAATATATAAAAATCTTTTGTAGACGAATTTGGTAAGTTGAACATGAATATACACACGTATATGTGTGTGTTTACATAAGGAAGAAAAGGGTAGAAATGGAAGGAAAAGTGGAAAACAGAAACTGACCTCCGTTACGAGTTACGAGTTTCGAGAAGGTTTTGTTGATTGCTCGAAGGATTAGCAACTTTTGATGAATCAGTCGATTCGACATTTTTTGAGCTTCCTTCAACAGCAAGTTTGAAAATACTCTCCGCCTAATAAAAAAATCAATAACTCAATTTTTAATGCATTTGTTTTTAAAATAAATCTATGGATATTAGGTTTCGACAATAATTGAAACGAACCTTGTCACGAAGAACATTGAACACAGAAACCGTTCCGTTGTAGAAAATCGTCAGCTGAGCTGTTTCAGGACCGTCCTCAGAAGCTCTGAAGTTGAACAAAACGTTATCGTTTTTCACATCGGTACTCTAAGAAATCGTTTATCCATGAAATTACAGAAAAATCGATTTACCTTAAGGCAGGATTCAGAATAGGTAAAGAAGGAACCGGACTAGTCCGATCTTCTTCAGGACTCGAAGGCACTGAAAAAGACTTTCTCCAATCAACCGGACTCTGGTTCGACGAATCGGAGGAAATCACAGACTTAATCAGCTCAGGATTCATCTTCGAAATGGCTCCTTGAATACCTGTTAACATTAATCACAATCGTTTTTCATTGCAAACACAATCATTCACTAAAAAAAAACACTGAAAAAAAATCACTGAATCACACCATCGCCTTCGCTCAAACAAATTCAAATCCACAAAAAAAATCACTAAAAATGAAGAAAAAAAGTACCTCGCAAGCTCCGACGGCGATCGAGGAATTTCTGGAACTGAGAATTGCAGGAGTTCGCTTTCTCCATTCCAAAGAAATCAAACTCAAAGGTAGCTCTCGACATTTTTTTTATTTTTTTTTCTGAGAGAAAACTCTGCTTTTGTTTGTTTGTTTGGCTCCTGTATGTTACAACGAGAGATTTGAAGTGCATATAAATGGAGAGGCGAGGGAGCATTACACGAGATGCATGAGAATGTATTAAAGGGGATTCGCTGTATTTATTAATAATTATTAAATAAATAAATATTTTATTTTATTTAATATTTGGTTGATAATATCGTTTCAGCAATATCTCGAATTCAAATTTTTGTATATGTAAAAAATATCTATTTAAACACTCACCGATCAAAATTAAATGTACGACCTAATAATAAAGGTGAAACCTTTAAACCCCAAATATATATATATATATATATATATATTTTTGGTAAAGCGTATAAGAAACGCACACGTCTCCCACATGGAGTTTGTGTTACCAACAAATGAAGCAGGTCCAACTATATGACCATAACGGAGTATATGTCTATTTATTTCCTTTTCTCTTTGGGATTAATTTCCTCATATATACTTAAACTTCAAAAACATTATAATTAAGTACTTAAAGTATCATTATTGCATCGATAATATACTTTTGTCAATCCAGTCATTAACTACGTTAAATACTCCTAGTGTTGGATCTTGGCAAAATAGGTTGGGGATGTAATTAAAATTTTCAAAATCTTAGATGCCAAATTAAAGTTTTCAATAAAAAGTTGATGGGTTTAATTTTTTTTCCAAAAATTGCGGCTTAACTAAAACTTTGCAAAGTTTGTAGAGACAAAGAGAGAACTTTTAAAAACTTAGGGAGGATTTAATCAAAAGTACTCTAAAATTTTAGGGGCCTAATTTAAAATTTAAAAATTTTGAGGGGACTAAAACTCTAAAAGAAAATTTTAGATTAATATGGGTTAAGTACAAAGTAGTAAATGTTCAAAGATATCTTAACCATTTGGCATTGAACGTTCAGACCCCTGTCATTTATTGTGCTCGAACATGAAACCCTAAGAAACAACAATAATTCATTTACCGCTGAAGTCGCTTCATTCGTATCATATTCTCAAATTTTGTTTCTCTATCATTTTATAGAGTTTAGTATTTTAGTATATTTAAAGCTAAAAGCATGATTTTATATATTTTATGTTAAATAATTATTCTATCAATTTATCCACTGATTAACAAAATAATGTGTTCTCGTGTGAGGTCTAAGATTATAAGTTTAAAATGTATTGAATTGAAATAATTGTTTTATAACGAATCTTTATTTAAAAACTATTATGTATTTGTAAATCAAATGTTAATAAGTTTGATATCGTTTAAGTAAAGTCTCAAGTTCGAGTTATTGTGTAGGGACAGAACCAGAAATTTATTAAGTCGGGGTCAAAGTATTTTTTATTTTTCATAAATACAATTTTTTAATTGAGAGGATAGGGTAAATTTTTATTTATTTATTTTTCAAAAATACATATATATTTAATATTAATTAATACTTTTCTTCCCATGTCCTTGTGTATATAAAAAAAATACTTGCTGGGAAATTTATCCACCAAAATCAGATGTACGATGAGACTCGATTTAAATTAGCCAAGATAAAACCTGAAATCCGATAGGAAAAAAATAATAATAAACAAAATTATGTTTCTTGTATTATAGTTAGCAGTTGACTTAGACTTGTGTAATGGGTGGGATGAAGGGGAGCAGGAGATATTTACTTTCTAGCAAATTTGACATATATATATATATATATATATATAATATAAAATTCAAAGTGGGACTAGAAAAATGCAGTATCATGATGGACTGTTATGATTTTCCTTTATTTTGATAAATCCCCCTTTGCAAATTTGACAAATCAGAGTTAACCGTAATATATGTCCTCAAAATATATTTTTATTTTAAATTGATCCTTAAAATTTTAAATATTTCAATTTAATCCGCAAATTATGACTATGATTCTAAATTAGTTCTCAAACTTTTAAAATTTCAATTTCATCCCAAACTACATGTATATACTAATCACATCATTTGTTAATAAAACTGTTAGGTCAAGTTATATTATTATATGTTTGAAAAAACAAGATTTAGGTTAAACTGTGGTTGAAATCAATTACATATTTGGATGAATTTGGGGATGAAATTGAAATATTCAAAAGTTTGGGGACTAATTTAGAAAGAGATTCATAGTTTAGGGATGCAATTAGAATGCTCAAAAGTTTAAGGACTAATTTAGAAAGAGATTCATAGTTTGAGGATTAAATTGAAACATTCAAAAATTTATGGACCAATTTAAAATGAGAGTCATAGTTTAGAGACATATGACATAATTAACTATAAATTATATAAAACAATTATAAAAACTAACTTCATAAATATTCTAGAGTAATTATAAGCAGAGGCGGAACGTAAGCTAGGTTAGAGGGGGCCATAGCCCCCTAAATGTTTTTTTTTTAATTTTAACTCTTAAATTTTTTTTTAAAAATAATTTGATCTCTCAAATTTTTAGAAATTCAATTTAAATTTTAATTTTTCAATGTTCTTAATTGAAACCCCTTCCATAATTTTTAAAAAAATTCATTAAGCCTCTCAAAATTTCAAAAATTGTAATTAGATCCTAATTTTTTGGAAAAAATATAAACTAAACACTTCAAAATTTTTAAAAGTCTTAATTTAAACCTCTAAATTTTTAAAATTTTAAGTTGTCCCCCCAAACTCTATCACCAAGTTTCGCTATTGATTATAAGGTAATATTTATTCATAATATTTCTTAACCATTGACAACACACACCATGCAGACACAAATGCTCAAACTCAAAATCCTTGATATTGATGCATATTTTTAAAAAAATAATCTTGCGTAGTTCGTATTATACGCATTAGTAATTTTTTGAGTTTAAATGGTGTTTGAATAAAAATCCACATTAACGTCTTAACGAGAATAAGTGTGTTAACTATTTAGATTAACTAATGATATTATAAAAGAAGAATTAAGTTCTGTTAAATCAAAGTACAGAGACTAAAACTCAAAGTTAAGCACAATAGAAGGATTAAAATCAAATTTAACCTTTTGTTTACACCAATATTCGAAAGTAGACAGTAAAACAAACTTATTACAAGGAAAGGCCTCAAAGAATGAAAATGTTTAAACGAGAACCAAAGCAATGACCAATAATATATGTTGCTCTATACAAAATATTATATGCAATTTGGTCCAAAATGTTAAAAAAGTGATGAAAAAAATCATATAATCTCAATGTAGAAATGTTGTATAAATCTACAAAAGTCTAAACCTTATTTATTGGTGTATGGCACCACTGGCAGAAACTAAATATGAGTATGTTGTGGGAAAATTTTGATCCATCAATTCAACTTCTGAGCTACCATCTACTCGAACCTGGCATCGTAGTACTCGGTTTATGTACAAACGTATTACCGATCACCTCCCGGTCATAACTTATCTGCGATCCTCCCTAGAGCATCGGCGAGCTTATTTAGAACAGCCACTAGGTTATGACCGTGATCTTTCCTTTGCTCCCTATCCTGTTGGAAGTTAATGTTTTGAGCTTCGAGTTGAGCAACCAGTATTTTACCGTTTTTTTCCAAGACGTCGATCAAGTGGTACTGTGGACTGCTGCTCATTTCCTCGTCTCCGTCAGTAGCCATCCGTTTCCTCTTTCTCGCTTCTTGAGAGGAGGAACCAAACTCGGGATTCGAGGTTGGATGTTTCTCCTTTGTTGTACCTGCGTGTCCAAGTCTGATTATTGGAACATGATATGCATTGCCATAGAGGAACAAGCTAATTCTACAGTTGGTGCCCCTTCAAGTACAGTGACAATTAAAACCCAAAGTCAAACCGATCGAATCGAAACATCACGTGTAAGCCCATCCCGGTGCAGTATTTTTCAGTAACCCTAATGAGTTTTGGTCTAAACCTAGTTGGCCGCTTCACGGAACAACTGAGGCTTGTTCGAGACACGGTTGGGTCTCGAACATGGCAATCATCGACTTAGTAATCAAGCCAATAACAAGGTATAATCCGGAAAAATATCTAGCCTGAAGAAAGTCATAATGGAACTTAACAGAAAATCATCAAAGTGGGTTACTCAGAATGCCAGAATAGAACATCAATACCTGATATTAAAAATGTTCTGTTAAAAACTAAGAAAAAGCAAGATAAAAGTTATGTTGTCCGGATTCTTTATATTCTTATCGGAAGTATCCATGTCCGACACTTGAATACAAAGATATGATCTTCAAGACCTTCCATTTACAAGGAAAATTTTGATCATACTCATATCGGATACATATTCGTATATGCACTCAAAGCTAATCCGAATAACTTAGCAGCAGGGCATTTGAACATAGGTAGGTAAAATCAATATTACCTTGACTCTTGATCCCTGGAATAGATGGCTGTTGAGGTAGCCGGTACTGCTGCTCTGTGAGCATAAAAGGTGAGCAAAACAAAACATTCATAAGCATTGAATGGATCAATGATAACCCTTTTCCACATTTTTAGTGAAAGATCCAAAGAAAAAGGAAAATGCACCAATCCCATACTCCTATTCCCTGAAGAGTCCGCTATCCGCTATCCAATAATCATATTGAGCTTCATACTCCTATTCCCCCTCTCGAAGATTTCGATATCCGATGATCATATTGAGTAAACTGTTTTCGAATCAAACTGAGTAGATTCAAACACTTGTATCAAATTTTTAGTCGACATTTGTTTACAATCGATTCGATTCCTGAAGAACCCTACCCTTCCCCCTCATAAAAAAATTAAAGATTCATGCTATAAAGAAAAGATATAGAAAAAGGCTAAAAAGAGTTGCCAACAGTGCTCAAACACCTCCATTAAAGCAAGTTTTTTTTCCTTAAAGAAAACCCAATTTTAGAATTTAGAATTCCAATCAAATCATCATAAAATATAAAGAAACAAAAGCAGACAGAATTAACCAGTGATTCAAATGTATCAGTAATTAACAATTGCTAGTGATCAATACTAGTATTAGTATGTGGTATGAGAATTTGATTGCCTGATATAGGGATAGGAGCTGGAACAGCCTTTCCGGTGTCGACGTCAAGCGCGGGCTCCACCTTTTCCGGGCTCCCACAACCGTCGTCCTGCTCGAAGTCCGAAAACTGC